ATACCGGTAAAGGACGGCATGGTGAGCAGGGCACTTTAGACAATCTGGTGGCCCTTGGAGAGGGGTCTCTGACTATTGACATAACATCATTTGCAAACATTAAAGATGCGAAGTCCCATCCCAGGCTTGTTGAGTCAGAATCTCTGGCCCATGGGGACTAGTGTTTTAACAGGGCCCTCTTGTTTCTGATTAACATTAAGTTTTACAGTCATTTGGCTTAGTCTGTTCCTATCCCTAACTAAGCAGTGTGAGATAAATAACTTACCCATCTGTTTTCAATATTAATCTTTTTTTCCTTAGCATCATCTAAATCATCTTTTAGTTTGCACAGAAGGCTGCTTTTATTGTCCTGAGTGAAAGACATTCATTTATTGTACAGCTTTACGGTGGTGACGGTTTTAAGTGGAGAAAAATAAAAGACACACTAAAGAAAAGGCCCATGAAAGCAAGCAGTGATGAGGTAGAGACTGGAACAGAAAACAGCGCCAAATGCTTGCCACTGGAAGCGTCCTCGGATAATTCCAGGTGCCCATGATTACCCCTAAATGAGCACAGACGCACATAAACACTTTCCTACTCGTGGAGTGTTTTGGAAGCTGTGGTTTGGAGTGTTCTCTTCCCTATGTATTCCGCCTGTTCATAGAGCCATCTATGTCCCGTTTTTTTGGTTTGTTTGGTTTTTTTCTGTGTGTGTTTTTTCATTCTTTTTTTTTTTTTTTTTTTTTTTTTTTTTTTTTTTTTTTTGAGACAGGGTTTCTCTGTGTAGCTTTGCGCCTTTCCTGGAACTTGCTTGGTAGCTCAGGGTAGCCTGGAACTCACAGAGATCTGCCTGGCTCTGCCTCCCGAGTGCTGGAATTAAAGGCGTGCGCCACCACCGCCCAGCTTGTTTTTGTTTTTTCAAGACAGGGTTTCTCTGTGTAACTATGGCTGTCCTGGAACTCACTCTCTAGACCAGGCTGGCCTCGAACTCACAGAGATCCACTTGCCTCTGCCTCCTGAGTGCTGGGATTTAAAGGTGTGTGCTACCATGGCCCTCAATGTCCCATTTCTTAAACTCCTGAATTCCCTTTTTGTTTTCCACACAGGGTCTTTCTGTCTCCTGCTGGGGATGGGGGTATGCAGCACTGTGCCTGGCCCCCCTTTCTTAGTCTTCCATGTTAGACTTTGAGCCTCACATAGAATAAAGCAGTGTTCTAAAGATGCTTTTCTCCTCACCCCAAACTCGGCGGAAGGCGAGATGAAGGGTGGGACTGTCATTCCTCACCTCACTGAGGTCACTGCCCTCTGATGCAATACCATCAAAAGGTTTGAAACACAAGTCTAGGTATCTTGTATGACAAAAGTGCGCTCTCTTTGGGAATTTTTTTCCAATTAATGTTTATGTGGACCATGGTATTCTAACGTAACATACGCACCCAATTGTAAAGGAATTAACGAGTAATGAAGTACAAAGGCCTCTTTCTCCAGTGCCCTCTCACTTCAGGAAAGCACCTTTGCAAGAATGAGAGCTGTTTATTCTGACATTTACCACGATGTGCCTAAATCTTGTGCTTACACTGCTGTTTTTTGTAGACAGGATAAAAATGTTTATTTTGAAACATGAGGATTTTATCCACTTTCATATTTTCATCAACATCCCAGTGTTGATCAGTGAATATCATACTTTCATTTGCCCATGACTCTCCTTTTTCTTTCACTTTTTGTTGCTAGATTGTGTTTGCTTTAGAACCAGGGTCTCTCTAGGTAGCACAGGCTAGCCTCAGACTCACAGGTCTCTTGCTACAGCACTAGACCGCAGCACCAGCACCTCCAGCTGACGACACAATTTTCTTGTCCACACATTTTGATAACATACTGCTTTTCTCTGTCCTTTCAGTTTTTTATATTAACACACAGTAATTGTCCATCTAAGGTTCAATGTGACTGATCCATATGTGCACAGCATTCACGCTTCAACCCCCATACCCTGCTTAATCATTATTCTTTCTGGTTGACTTTTTTTTTTTTTTTCTTTAAGACAAGATCTCAAGAATCCAAGGTGACCTCAAAATTGCTATGCAACCAAAGAGCTTCCAATCCTCCTGCCTCCACCTCCCATGCAGGGATTACAGGCCGGGACCACTATGTCCAGTCTTACAGGGTGCTGGGAATCAAAACCAGGGCTTCCAGCATGCTGACTGAGCATCCTAACAGCTGAGCTACTCCCCAGCCTGCTCAGGTTGACATTTTTGGCTGTCATATATGAGACTATGTGGTACTTCTGTGTGTATTTCATCTTACTCAGAGCGTCCTCCAGTTCCATCCTTTGGGCTAATAACAGGATTTCACTCATCTTACGGCTCATAACACTGTATGGGGTATGTGTATATAGTGCCATTATCCACTCAACTGTTAACAGACACCTCCACAGGTCTGCATCTTAGCTATTATACATAGTACTGCACTAAACTTTCAGTTTAATTTTAAAAAATTAGCAACTCCCACCATCTTGTATTCTATTCTATTCTTTATTTTTTTTTTAATGTGTATTGGTGTTTTGGCTGCCTGTATGTTTGTGTGAGGGTGTAAGATCCCCTGGAAAACTGGAGTTACAGACAGTTGTGAGCTGCCATGTGGTTGCTGGGAATAGAACCCAGGTCCTCTGGAAGAGCAGCCAGTGCTCTTAACCGCTGAGTCATCTCTCCAGCCCCTAGTATTTCTATACCTATGTGTATATGTTCACGTGTTAAGTCATTGAAAATTCAAGCTTGACAGAAAATTGAATGTATCTTAGTCTTGTAAAACATTTGTTCTGTTGTGGAGGGAAGGGTCTTAGGCTACAACTGTTTTATAAACTACTAAACAGAAAAATTTCAAATGACTAAGATTCTTTTTTGTTGCAAGGTAATTTTGGGTAGAAGACTGCAGTTTTACCTTTCCAATGTAAGCTTATATATTCCATATGAATAAACACTTTTATCCACAAGGCTCAGGGACTCACCGATCCTTTTCATTCTGCTTTTAGACTTTATTTTATATGTATGAGCATTTCGCCTGCATGTGTGTCTGCGCAAATATGCAGCAAACGGACCCACGGTGAGTGACGGCAGCCTCGCTGTGAAGCGAAGCCAGGTTTCTGGTCCTCTAAGGCTCTGGATGTCAGATCCTGGGCTACTGTAAAGGGCAGCAGGGTAATAATCTTGGCATAACGTGAAGACTGAAAGTATAGTAATTCTGGCAATAACTGACTTCTTCCAAGTACTCTGCTTACTTTGGGATTGTACTCTGAAGAAAGTTTTACAATTAGATCCCCTCACTGCAGATTTACAACTCTGTAAGTATCTTTACCTGTTTTCTACTCTCACCTCTAGGAAGTCTGAAACACAGACCCAACCCCTCCCTACAGTACAGTATCCTGAATCTTTTTTAAAGTTATATACTATACATAAAAAATAGACAATATATGTTGATCATATTACCTCTCCTCCCCCAACTCCTTCAAGATCCTCCCCACATACCCACCCACACAACTTCATGTTCTTTCTCTCATAAAAAGGAAAAAACAACAAAAGATGAAAATCAAAACAGACACACAAACTAAAAAAGGAAAATCCTAAGACGATAACTACCAAAAAAGTCAGGCAGTGGTGGTGCACACGTCTTTAATCCCAGCACTCGGGAGGCAGAGGCAGATGGATCTCTGTGAGTTCGAGGCCAGCCTGGTCTACAGAGTGAATCCCAGGACATCCAGGACCACTGCACAGAGAAACAAAAACAAATAAACAACAATACATAAGAAAACATGGAGTCTGTTCCGTGTTGGCCAGCTGCTCCCAGCATGGGGCCTGCCCTGGAGTGTGGTTTATATGCACAGCGGCACTGCACTAGAGAAAACTGGTTTTTCCTTCTTCAGCAGGTACCAGATGCAAACAGACTCTGGGTTAGGGGTGGGGCTTTGTGTCCACTCTTTAAACAACATGCAAACGTGTTGGTGGGCCTGCTCACCACCGACCGCCAACACGACGTAACTACACTTAATAGCATTTTAAAGACGAGCTGTGAAATCCATGCCTAGTTCTTTTTTTCATCACTCTCACAAACAGTCAGGGTCGGCTACGCAACCCCAGTGGCAAGGATGGGCGAGGGGTGGCAGGGTGCCAGCAGGAGCCGAGCGCTTTCACATTTCTCCTCTCCCACCCTGGCAAAAAGAAATTGGAGAGGAGTACCAATAAGATAAGAACTGGAAACATTCCTTTTTTTTTTTTTTTTATTAAGAAAGCATGCAAAAAAAAAAATCAAGTTGTGAGCCTATACACCCTCTTCCCAGCCTGCACCAATGCAAAGCATTATGGGTGGTATGAAGAACTCACCAAACCAGAAACATGGGAGTTGAGGAGAGGAAGCCTAGGATAGGTAGATCAATACCAAATGACTTCTCCTTTTGTCCTTCTCCTCTGCTTTTTCCCTTATTCCCTCTTATAGGCAGTGACTCCTACAATTTTGCACACATCACCCAAGACAACAACAATGACTAAACTTCACGTCCAGCAACACCGGACCAACAAAATAGTTTTCTTTCCACGTCATGGAGGGGATGGGAAACTGAGGCCCAAAGGGAATCAAGTTTGTCCTGTGCCATTTTCCAAGCCTGAGCCTGGTGGAGGAGAGCTGGAACCCCAGGAGGCCTAAGGCCAGTCTCCAGGCCCCAGCCCCATACGTCAGCTGCTCTGGCTGCCCACCGGGGCCCTTCATGAGACTAGTTCTCAAGACACGGAGGAGCCAGGGGCATTTAGGAGTATGATTCAGCCTACCCTTCCCAAACTCATACAGATCTGACCAGGAAGGTGTTTAGAAAGAGGAGTGTTACTCTGAAAAGGCAAGATGTTGAGGAAAACCAAAGGGAAGCTGCGTAGAATATACCCGAAGGAAGGAATAAGGAGATGTCTAATCGGGCACCGGGCAATGGCATGTGCCACCCTCGAGAGAAACACTCCCTTCCCCAGTGGGAAACACTGATCATACTTCAACCCCACCAAATGCTCTCCAGTACCATCTTCCACTGTGTTGTAGGGCATTTGTTTTTTCTTATACCCCACCCCCCTCGTTTTTCCTTACAAAGGCTTCAAAAGAAATAAAGTGCTCTTTAGTGAACTGCCCTGTCTTGCCCCTTCACCTAGCCTCACTGGACCTCACCAATCTCATACATTAACCCCCTTCTGAAGAAAGGAAAGGGGTTGATGAGGGGGAAATCGGGATGGGAAGCCCAGTATCTTGGAAATCATGGGTGAAGAAAAGAAAACGAACAAAAATCAGAAAGCACAAAGAGATTGGCCTTGTCTAAACTATGTATTTTGTCCATTTCAGAAAAATGGAAGTAAACTTGGTCTTCCCTCTCATAAGCCAAATTCAACAAACACACTCACTAAGAACTCTGCAGCAGTAAGTCATGGCCACTTGCTGTTAAAGGAGGTTACTCATCCCCACGCCTGGGAGTGCCCCTTGCCTTTACTGCATCCTGTCTCCATATTAACTTCCCTCCTATGATTTTCATTGCCTGTCAAAATCAAAAGCTTCAGTCCCACTGACAGGGATTTCAAGAGAAGCGCTCCCTGCGTAATTAAACAAACGGCACATTCCCTGCCCGTATCTACGCCAATCCCCTTCCTTCTCCCCACCCTCCTATCAGCAAGACTACGGGCAGAGTCTGCTATGACAAGGAAAGAGGCTTTCGCAGCATGTCGAGGACATGAAAAAACTCGGAGTGAGAATGGCTTCCTCTTGTCATTTGAGAATGCCAGAAAATGGGAGAAGAAAGTAAGACAGGGGGATGATTTGGACAAACAGCTACAGGAAGACAAAATCGTATTTGCTGAAGGGGAAAAGAAGATGGAAGACAATTTACATATGCAGTAATGGCCACAGTTAATTCTCAGAAAGAACTTTTCTCAAAGCCAAATGCTTTAAATTGAAAGTGTTTCCAAGAGGCTGAACCTATGATGAACAGTGGTCCTCATGCCCTCCCATACAAGCTAACCTGAGAGTATTAGCTAGGAGGAAGCAGGGATGCCTTGACATGGAAGGAGGAAGCCAGGGATGCCCTGACATGGCAGGAGGAAGCCAGGGATGCCCTGACAAGGCAGGAGGAAGCCGGGGATGCCCTGACATGGCAGGAAGAAGCCAGGGATGCCCTGACATGGCAGGAGGAAGCCAGGGATGCCCTGACATGGCAGGAGGAAGCCAGGGATGCCCTGACATGGCAGGAGGAAGCCAGGGATGCCCTGACATGGCAGGAGGAAGCCAGGGATGCCCTGACATGGCAGGAGGAAGCCAGGGATGCCCTGACATGACAGGAGGAAGCCAGAGATGCCCTGACATGGCAGGAGGAAGCCAGAGATGCCTTGACATGGCAGGAGGAAGCCAGGGATGCCCTGACATGGCAGGAGGAAGCCAGGGATGTCTTGACATGGCAGGAGGAAGCCAGGGATGTCTTGACATGGCAGGAGGAAGCCAGGGATGTCTTAACATGGCAGGAGGAAGCCAGGGATGTCTTGACATGGCAGGAGGAAGCCAGGGATGTCTTGACATGGCAGGAGGAAGCCAAGGATGCCCTGACATGGCAGGAGGAAGCCAGGGATGTCTTGACATGGCAGGAGGAAGCCAGGGATGCCCTGACATGGCAGGAGGAAGCCAGGGATGCCCTGACATGACAGGAGGAAGCCAGGGATGCCCTGACATGGCAGGAGGAAGCCGGGGATGCCCTGACATGGCAGGAGGAAGCCGGGGATGCCCTGACAAGGCAGTGCACACCCAACCTCATGCAGATTTACACCCCGTCACTTCTCCATGACTTTCTACTCAACTCAGCTGTCCCAGTCCACCCTTTATGGGGAATGAGGACTGCCAGAAAAAGTAAAGACTGGGTACATAAAGGAAGAGTTCAGGACACAATTAGCACCATTGAGTAAAACCTGCAAAGTCATGGCTGCTAAGCAGTGTCTTAGACCCCTCCACTCGCTGAGGCCTATCCAGGCCAGCCTGAAACAGACAGGAACAGAACACAATTTAGAGCTGAAAGGTGGAAGCAGCATTGAGTTTCTCAGAGAGAAAGCTGAACTCAAATTCGAAACCTTTCTCTATAGCTACCACAGCCTCATCTTGCATCTTGAAGATTTCAAATAGGAAAGAGGAGGGCATAGCCCATGGTGAGGGGCAGTAGACTGGGCAGTATATAACCAATAATAACAATAATATAATTAGAATAATAATAAAAGAACTAGGAGGGAACCAGAGAATGAGGAAGGAAAGGGGTTATCTTCGGCAGCATCTCGCGGTGGCTCCTCTGACAGAGAGAACAGACAGAAGCTATATATCTATATACAGGTTTGGGGAGGATGGGTGGGGACCGTTCTTCCGCCACGGCGAGAATCCACCACCAGGCCTTGGGCTGACGTCCACTCTGACTCACTAAGTGATCAAGTCCCAGTCGAAGTCGTCAGCAATCTCCTCAGTGGCACCAGGAGGTGGGACGGGCGGCCGCGGAACCATGTGGTGTGCTGTCGAGAAGAAAGACAGACCAGAAAGGAAGCTGGATGAGAAGCAAGTCCATCAGTCTAGATGGGGAGTGTTCTGCCCCAATGACACCAGGAAGGACACAGAGACAGCACCAGACTGATCAGCCTGGGGTTCTTTCTGTTATAGACTATTCATTCAGCGACACCTCAGGAAACACACCAAAGCACATGCCATAAACTCTAACTGACAAAATAACTTAAGGAGGTGATATCATATGAAACAGCAGCACAGAAAGTCACAGTTGCAGGGCACGGACAAAGAAACAGACATCATCCTAAACACTGAAATACTTGGGCTGGAGAGATGCCTCGGAGGTTAAGAGCACCGGCTACTCTTCCAGAGGATCTTAGTTGAATTCCCAGCAACCACCAGAGATCTGGTGCCCTCTTCTGGAGTGCAGGCATACATGCAGGTGGAACAGTGTATACATAAATACATAAATAAATAAATTTAAAAAAAAAAACGCTGTGAGTTCGAGGCCAGCCTGGGCTACCAAGTGAGTTCCAGGAAAGGCGCAAAGCTACACAGAGAAACCCTGTCTCGAAAAACCAAAAAACAAAAAAAAAAACTGAACTACTTGTGATCAAATAAAATGACAACAGTGAATTTCCTGAAATACATTTAAACATGAGAAATCTGTTCATGTGTACCATCTACAGGGGTTCAGTGTCTCCCCACCATCAAAGACAGTTCAATCCCATGCTGAGGAAGCCACTCAGTGGTACAGTACTTGCCCAGCATACAAGAGTTTAACCCCAACACTGCAAAAAACAATTGGAAAAAAAAAAAAAAAAAAAAAAAGTAGCCGGGCGGTGGTGGCGCACGCCTTTAATCCCAGCACTCGGGAGGCAGAGCCAGGCGGATCTCTGTGAGTTCGAGGCCAGCCTGGTCTCCAAAGCGAGTTCCAGGAAAGGCACAAAGCTACAAAGAGAAACCCTGTCTCGAAAAAAACCAAAAAAAAAAAAAAAAAAAAAAGTAGTTTGCCCCAGACCCCTGACACTAATGGTGAGGTGACAGGGAAACAGCCATTCATTTCATTTGCCTGTCTTCCATCTTGATTCCAAAGTTGGACATAAACATCCCTCACAGTTATCTTTCACTAACATTTATAATTATTCTTCCTTTCAGTATTGCAGTTACAAGGTAATTTTTTTAATTTTTAAAAATTATTTTACTGTATGTGTCTGTGTGTTTTGCCTGCATGTATGTCTGTGCATCATATTCACGCAATGCCAGAGAGGCCAGAAGAGGGTATCAGATCCCCAGGAACTGGAGTCGTCAACCATTGTAAGCCATATAAGCCATGTGGAGGCTGGGAATCAAACCCAGGTCCTCTGGAATAAAAGCTAGTGCTCTTGACCACTGAGCCATCTCTCCAGTCCCAGAAGTAATTTTAAAGCAATCCCAGGTTAGAGGTATAGCTCAGAAGTAAAGCCCTTGTCTAGTATGAGTGAGGTCCTGGCTCCACTCCCAGCACTATAAAACAAAGGAAATTTAATGAAATAAAATGGCCTTTCTTAGTCTCACCGGAAGTACACCTCCCTAGAGGGTAGCACGTCTCGTCCTCCAGCCTTGGGAACCATGCCCTCACCCATTAGCAGGTGCAGACAGAAGGGCAGAGAGAGGATTCCGAAAGAAAGTAAAACACTGAGAGACGAGCGTGCTTGTCTGTCAGTGAAACCCTCCCAGCTCTTACCTGGGCGACTGTATCCTGTTGTGTCCTGGGTGGAGATTGGGTACATAGGTGCTGGGCCAGGGTAGAGATGGGAGGCTTGTGGATGCCCATAAGAGTTCACTGCCAAAGCAAAACACAAGTTACTTGACTAGGGGACTATTGCAGTCAACAAGGCAGGAAGAAAGAACACGTTCCCTGTCCCATCAGTCTCTGTCTCTCTTCCTGCAAGCAGGAAGCATTCTGCAGAAGCTACCAGTCCTCAGTTCTTAGGGTGAGAAGGGATGGGGTCTAGAACTGTGAAACATCAAATCTGAGAATAACCAGAAACATGATAAACATGATCATCAGTCTGTTTTCCCCTGCTTGACCCCCACCTCCTATGAAGATTATTTCTGGGACAATTTGGAATAAGGACTTTCTTTAATAAATTCCCTCCCTTTTTAATTAGTAACTTTGATCTCCCAAACCAAGGCATGGAAAGGAACAGGCCAGCTGCTTCTGCGGTTCTTCAGGACGTCCTGCAGGAGCTCATTGAGTTGACAGATGTCCAGTCAATAAACCAGTCCCAGGACTCAGCCTGGTCACTGCCTGTAAGATTGCTTCCTCATTTCTCTTTTCCCTTCACCCTTCACTTCCCTCCCAGTCTACTTCTCTGGCAGCTTTGTGGAGTACCTTGGTTCATGGATGGCTCCGCTTTGCCACTGGTGAGAGCACAGGAGTCAGTGATGCGGGCAGGGGCAGGTGGTCGGTGGGAGCCCCCTTGCGGGGGCATGTGACCAGTCTGGGTGAGGAAGTGGTTGAGGGAGTCACACAGGTTGGCGATGTGATGCTGGTCGAGGGTCCAGTTCTTCTGTTCGGCCTGCCGTAGACTCTCCATCAGCTCTACGATGAGAACACCAGCCAGGCCAACCCTGAGCAGCTAGCCACCAAAGCCACCACCACACCACCCTGGTGCACGGTTCCCTCTCATCTTGGACCACCAGCATTGTACACTAACAATAATGACTTATACCTTTTTCTTTTTTGCTTATGTAAGTATATATTGAAATGTGATATGACGACAAGTATCATTAAATGTGCCAGGTTTTAATTAGTTTTTACTGCTTTCTTTAACCTTATTCTGTACTCACAATTTTAGAATAAAATAGACTAGAAATAAGCCTACTCATTTCACTCTAGCTAAGGATGCTTCTTGCAAAACTGAAACTACTTTGTTTTTTTTCTTAAAGGGGAATCCCAAAATGACCATCCAGAGGCCATGAGTTCATCTTTTTACAGTTCCGCCTTTCAACTTTCCATTCTGTTTGTTCCTTGCCAAATTTTTATTTTAATTTGCATCTCCCTAATGGATAAAAGTGTTCAAAGTGACTTAATGGATTCACTATCGTCTCTGACAGGAAGCATAACTACAAAACTGTGGTCCAGAGTCTGAATCCCCAAGATCCTTTCCTCTTCCCCATGACAAAAGATGACTGGCATAAAGCATTGTAGTATCTGAACAAGGGCAAACACTTGAGTCAAACCTGAAAACACGTATATCTTTCTTGTACAACATGCAGAAGTGATGAAAGTCTCGGTCCCACACCCATTTGGGCATCACCTGGGTCCTGGAACCTCCCCCTCTGCTCCAGAATGGACCTAAAGCGCTGGCCTGAGAACTGGGACTGCTCAATGCTCTCCCCGTCTGCTCCAGAGTGGACCTAAAGCGCTGACCTGAGAACTGGGACCGCTCAATGCTCTCCCCCCTCTGCTCCAGAGTGGACCTAAAGCGCTGGCCTGAGAACTGGGACCGCTCAATGCTCTCCCCGTCTGCTCCAGAGTGGACCTAAAGCGCTGGCCTGAGAACTGGGACTGCTCAATGCTCTCCCCGTCTGCTCCAGAGTGGACCTAAAGCGCTGACCTGATAACTGGGATTGCTCAATGCTCTCCCCGTCTGCTCCAGAGTGGACCTAAAGCGCTGGCCTGAGAACTGGGACTGCTCAATGCTCTCCCCCTCTGCTCCAGAGTGGACCTAAAGCGCTGGCCTGAGAACTGGGACTGCTCAATGCTCTCCCCCTCTGCTCCAGAGTGGACCTAAAGCGCTGGCCTGAGAACTGGGACTGCTCAATGCTCTCCCCCTCTGCTCCAGAGTGGACCTAAAGCGCTGACCTGAGAACTGGGACTGCTCGATGCTCGACCAGTTGAGCCGGTTCACCATTTTGAAGCTTTCCTTTAAGGAGTCGATACTGGAGCACCAGTCTGGAGGAAAGGCTGTGGAGAGAAAGGCAGGTAGTGAGACGGGGTGTAAGAGAGCAGCCAGCACATGCCAGTTTCTCCCAGCTACCCGCCCAGAGTAACAGCGGCATTCCAAGAGAGCTGTGGACTCCCTCACCGGAGAGTCAGGAATGGCGGAGTGACCTGTTCTTTTAGCACCAGCAGTTCAGAGGCAAATATACAAAACAATGCTAATTCATCTATGAATAGGAAGGGGAAACAACGAAATCCCCAGCCTCAATCCTCCATAGTACAGGGCTTTGTGTAGCAACTCCATCGGCTGAGATGAAGGAAGAGGGTGAGAGACTGAACCTAAAAGACCAACTGTTAGCTTTTGCACCCACGGTTCCTCCACGCCGGCAGAACACGGTTCACTCACCCTCCTCCCAGCTTTCTCTGTCCCCTCCGTGCTCACCAAAGCCAGAGCTGTTGATGGGCGCCTGGCTCTGCGCTTGCTGCTGCTGCGGTGGCTGCTGGGCAGGGTGGGGGTGGGCATGGTGCTGATGAGGGTGGTAGCCTCCGTGCTGCAGTGGGGGAGGATGCATGGCCATCACACCGGGGGGTCCGTAGCCTTCGGCTCCAGCCTGTTTTCCCCCTGGTGTCGTACAACCATCAGGGCTTGGGGTGTGCAGTGGAGGGGCACCCCCTACAGCGGAGGGGCCCTGAGTGGGTGCCTGGGGCTGCTGTGGCTGTGACTGCTGGGGTGGCGGCGGCTGCGGCTGCTGTTGCTGTTGCTGCTGCTGCGGCTGCTGCTGCTGCTGAGGTGGTGGCTGCTGGTACATGTAGTAGTTGTTAGAAGGCTGCATGTCTCCCAGGAGTGAGGAAAACCCTGCAGGGGGAGGAGGAAGTAGGTAAGTGATTTGAGCTATACAGTTTCACTACATGACACCTCTCAGGATGAGAGAGCTGGGGCAGAAGAGTTGAAAGGACAAAAGTATATTCTGTGACTGCAAGGACCCTGTGTCCCTCCTTGGAGATAACAGACCAGAAAAGCAGTTAAATAAGAGGAAAACTTTGACCCACTGGTGACCACGGAAACGTTAATAAAAAATTGTAAAAACCTCATTGGTGACCTTTCATGCTCCTTTTAGGGGATTTAGATATAGGGCTGGAATCAGTTTCAAAGGAAGTCACATAGCAGATGAAATTTAAAAATTAAATTATAACTAAAACAAAGCTATTAAGCAAGCAGTTTGCTCCTCCTGATTGTCTCTGCAGCCCCCTCTACTGCCCTGCCTGCTGGTCTTCACAACCAGGAAAGGCAGCTTGGGTGGGAAGCAGCACACAGACTGATTGATTTCTCAAGCCAACTGGGCAAGGAGGAGCTAACTAAGAGGAGTAGCCTGCAGCCCCCAGGCCAAAGGCAGCTCAGGATGGCTACGAATAAGCCAACACAAAGCCATAAACTCTCAACCACTAAACCATCTCTCCAATCATTAAGTTTCTTAAAACATTATGAAATACTTTTCTTAAATTTTGTTTTCTGGCTGGGTGGTGGTGGCGCACACCTTTAATCCCAGCACTCAGGGGCAGAGCCAGGCTGATCTCTGTGAGTTCGAGGCCAGCCTGGTCTACAGAGCGAGATCCAGGACAGGCACCAAAGCTACACAGAGAAACCCTGTCTCAAAAAATAAAATAAATAAATAAAAAGGAAGAAGGGAGAGAAGGGAACAGGAAAGGAGGATGGCAGAGGAGGCCTGGGGGGAGGAAGGAGGAGCAGAGAGGAAAGGGGCAGAGGAGGAGAAACTCATGACGGATCAGCAGGTTCTGAAAGGGGCCCAATCAATGTTATGTTTTCTCTCAGCTGGATGACAGACCTCAGACAAAAGAGGCAGTGTGACTGAGGCCCTCGTGCCCCACGTCATTCTGTCTAGCCCATGCTGCCTACAATGAACTACCAAACAGATGAGAAGGCCCGACACCCCTCTTGAACTCTCAGCCCCACCAAGACTTCTAACTTCTTTTTAAAGATATATGAACTGGGGCTGGAAAGACAGCTCGGCTGGGAGAAGTGTTTGGTGTGCAATTGTTAAGAAGCAGGTGTTCGAATCCCCAACAGCTATGTAAGTGCTGTGTGGGTGTACAGCCACCTGTAATCCCAGTACTAGGGGCGGGGGGGGGGGGGGGGGGGGGGGGGGGGGGGGGGGGGGGGGGGGGGTGTCCCGAGCAAGGTGACTAGCTAGACTTACCTAATGGGCAAGCCCTAGGTTCAAATGCAACCTTGCTTCAATATATAAAGTAGAAAACACCCGATACTGATCTCAGACCTACACAGGCATATACATTTACACATTCACACAGACAGACAGGCGCACACACACACACACACACACACACACACACACACACACACACACTTGGACATTCAAACGCAAACACACATACATGCAAAAACATGTGCATGTATGTGCAATCGTGTGTGTGTGTGTGTGTGTGTGTGTGTGTGTGTGTGTGTGTGTGTGGTTGCTTGTATGTCAACTTTACACAAACTAGGGTCATCTGGAAAGAAGGAACATCAATTAAGAAAATGCCTCCATCAGATTGGGCATGTAGGCATGTCTGTGGGTCATTTTCTTGATTAATGATTGAAGTGCGAGGGCCCTGACCACTGTGGGCACTGCCATCCCTGGGCAGGTGGTTAAGAGAGCAAGCTGAAGGCTAGAGAGATGGCTCAGAGGTTAAGAACACTGGCTGTTCTTCCAGAGGTCCTGAGTTCAATTCCCAGCAACCACACGGTGGCTCACAACTATCTGTAATGAGATCTGGTGCCCTCTTCTGGCCTGCAGGGACACATGCAGGTAGAACACTGTATACATAATTAATAAATAAATAAATAAATAAATAAATAAGTAGATAGATAGGTAGATAAATAGATAAAGAAAAGAAGGAAGAAAGAAAGAAAGGAAAGAAGGAAGGGAGGGAGGGTAAGGGAAGGAAGAAAGAAAGCTGAAGCTGGGCATGGTGGCACCCACCTTTAATCCCAGCATTCAAGAGGTGGAGGCAGGCAGATCTCTGTGAGTTCCAGGCCAGCCTGGTCTACAGAGTAAATTCTAAGAGAGTCAGGGCTCCATAAAGAAATCCTGTCTCAAGAAGAAAAGGAAAGAAAGCAGGCTGAGCAAGCCATGGGGAGTACGTCAGTGAGCAGCATTCCGCCATGGCCTCTGCTTCAGCTCCTGCCTGCCTCTCTTCTCGAGGTGTCCCTCAGCCACGGTCTTTACCACAGCAACAAAAAGCAAACCAGAAGAGTGTACAGATTTACTCATCGCGGGGCACAGAGCCGCGCCGTCTCTCAGGAGGCCACCCCATAGGGACTTAAAGTAGTTCTCGCTCAATAATTGTAAAATTTGCACATGGGCACGATCTCAGGGGCTGCTGAGAAGTTCTATGTACTGTGTAAGGCGTGGTAACAGCATGGTGGAGAACTAGAGGAGAGGTCCTCATCGCTTAGCGGTGCACACTGAAAGCCGAATTTACAGGGGATGCGATGTCTAGGAAAGTCACTCAACTATTTCCACCTCCAAACAAGCTCAGTGGCAAATAAAATAAGCTTAACAAAATAAAGTTAAGTGATGGAAACCAGGCGTTTGTTATTTATCCACTCTACTTTGGTATCTGTTTGAAGTATTTTACAATAAAAAATAACAACGCTGGGCCATGGTGGCACACGCCTTTAATCCCAGCACTCGGGAGGCAGAGGCAGATGGATCTCAGTGAGTTCGAGGCTAGCCTGGTCTACAAAGTGAGTTCCAGGACAGCCAGAACTGTTACACAGAGAAACCCTGTCTCGAAAAACCACACACACACACACACACACACACACACACACACACAGAGAGAGAGAGAGAGAGAGAGAGAGAGAGAGAGAGAGAGAGAGAGAGAGACTGACTGACTGACTGACTCTAATCCCAGCACTCAGGAGGCAGAGGCAGGGGATCTCCCTGAGTTCAAGGCCAGGCTGGTCTACAGAGTGAGCAGTTCAGGACAGATAACCTGCATAGTGAGACTTGTCTCAAAGGAAAAAAATCATAATAATAAAGCACTAGGAACTGGAGGCGAGCTTCAGTTGGCAGCCTCAGTCCTAGGTCAGTGCTTGCTCTGGTTGTACTGAGCCCTGGTTCCAACCATAGCACATAGACAAGGTGTAACAGAGCACACCTGTAATCCCAACACTCAGGTGGGAGAAGAAGGATCAGAAGTTCAAAGTCATCCTTGGCTACATTGTCTCAAGCTCAAGGCCAGCCTGGGGTATCTGCCATTCTGTCTCAATCTAACTTACTAACTGAAAAAGAAAAGTAAGTTATTTATAATAAAGCGGAAAGATTCTTGGGGAAAGAGTACTACTACTGTCCCCTAGTGGTCATACTCTGAATGACTGGCTCACAGCCATAAAATCACTACCCCAGAAGCAGAGGTGTGGCACAGTGGTAGAGCACTCACATAACACACACAAGACCCTGGGTCGGACCCCCAGCACTGGGGCAAGGCATGTGGGGGAAATCTCTGCCTTTGGATGGTCCTCCAATTCAGCTTGTGAAGATAATAACCCAGTGGCCCCTGAATCCGCTGTCTGGCACCAAACAGTTTAGTCCTGTTTCCTCTGACAAGTAACCAGTTCACATATTAAAACAAGAAACCGGGGGCTGGCAAGATGGCATATTCAGGTAAACGAATTTGCCGCCAAACCCAACCCCAGTCTGATACCTAGGACCTATATGGTATAAGGAGAGAACTGACTCTCACAAGTTGTCCTCTGACCACATGTGTGCACATGCACACACACACATGCACACACATGCG